CACTATCTTTTGACATTTTTGGAAAAACCAAGGGAAAACTGAAAAAAGTGTGTTCTTAGAAAAATGTTCAGTTTCGTCGCTGCAAGTTGCATATGTAATTCAAATCACTTTGTACCATGGATTTTGAAGAAATTTACAAAAAATCCCGAAAACACTAATTTTTGACGTTTTCGGAAAAATCCGAGCAAAATTTTATAAAGTGTATGCTTCGAAAAGTGGCCAGTTTCGTTGCTACACGGGGCATCTAGAATTTCAGTAATGAAGAACTGCACGTGTTTCAGCAAATTGCGAAAAACCACGCAAAAACACTATTATTTGACATTTTTGGGAAAACCAAGCGGAAAGTGGAAAAAGTGTATTCTTACAAAAGTGTTCAGTTTCATAGCAACAAGTCGCATTTGAAATTCAAAGCAGTTTGGACTGTGGATTTTGAAGAAATTAACTAAAAATGTCCTGAAAACACTATCTTTTGACGTTTTCGGCAAAACCTGAGCAAACATTTATAAAGTGGACTGCACAAGGAGGGCAAAAATGTCAATAGAGGATTCGTGCATCAACCCGAAAGAAAAACAGCTGATTCCAGCCAGCAAATAAAAAATTGCGGTAGTTTTTGTACCGAGGTACTGAAAAATCTCTCACTTGCCCAAAGCAAATTAAAATTGCAAAACAAATTTGTGTCTAGTTTAATCGCGTTTTTAGGCTTCGACAGATGCCAGAAACTCGCTCGGTTTGTAAAGACAACCCGAATTATAACCAACAATTATCGCACAACTGACTGGCTCTAGGGCGCGTCGCATTTGGTTTGTATAGCCGTTTGGCAACGCTCGAATATTCTGGTTCAACTACGTAACAGTCGCATTGCTCTCGCTGGCAACGTTGCCGGTACGGCTTGTTTTTCCGCGCTCACCGCGAGAGTTTTGTATTATTTCCAGAACGAAATACACACGGTATTCTAATTAAAAATCAAGTTTCTCCTTCCTGCAAGTTTTTTGAGAAACTACTAAAAATTATTAAACGGTCCTGCAATTTTTGCAAGAAAATAAGTAGTTGAAACTTTTTGGGTTTCGCCCTCTGACTCATGAACAAATGCAAAAGAGTCCCACCCAATTTTCCCAGCTACTTTGCGATTTTTGCTCTTTTTGCATCGTTTTAACTTATTTCCCTTAACATGGTCTCTTCCATGTTTTTAGTCCAACCGCCCTTGACCACAATGTTTGCAGTTGTTTTTTTTTGCATTTTTCCACACACTTTTCCCCATTCGACAGGGAAATTCTGTAGAGTTTCGGTGCAACAGCCGCACTGTGTTTGCCGATTGAAAGCGGTTGTATGGGCGATACGCCACTGGCATGCCAGTCCCTATAATTTGTGGATCGAATCAAGACATCGAGAGGAAAATTTGTTAAAATATACCCGGGCTAATAAGGAGTTTGGGCATTTAATCACGGGGCCCGGTTGTTTATGGGCTGTGAAAGTGGTTTAAATCTCTCCTCTATCAGTTTGGGTGGATCGGCCACCACGAAATTTTAATCGTTTCCTGCTGGTCTCCTGCCCAGGCCTGTCGGAGGCGTTCGAACGTCCCCATCCATGGGTCGTTCGAGGCTTCCAGTTGTCGGGCTCGCGCCTATTCAACGCCATCGGCAGGAAAAATGCCCTTAAATCGGGGTGTCCTAATGGCGAAAATCGCCCGGCCCTATACAAACAGACATGATGGCGATTTGGCGGCCCCTCGAACTTTCAGGGCAGCTGTCCATGTCGCCGATCCATCATCGGGGCCCTTTCACATGGGGTGAAAGATTATATTTTTAAGGGTGGTTCCGTGGGGCCGATTCTATTTGCGTCCGGAAGTGGTTTTTCTAGTTGCCGAAACCAGATAGGCCTCTTAAGGGCGCGCAAGACGCCGAAAGATCATGGTGATCGTCAGCTTCATCGGCACCGATTAGCGAAATTGCGATTGATTTTTCCGCGGTTTTGTCGGTTTTTGGGTCAATGGGGCCCTTGGCGACATTTTTGCGTCACCTTCACATTTTTAAGGGCCCTCTCGCCGGCGCCGCCGCGATCCTTAACGGTTTCGGGTTTTCACGCCCTTTTATCCTCCAATTTACCCAACCGCGATTTTTCGGCCGGATGTTTTGCGCCCTTTTTCTCCCTTAGTTCCAATATGAGGCACCCCATCATCCTCAGCAATTTTTCGGCTGAATATTCAACTGCCACTGGGCGCAATTTCTCCCTTGGTTCCAATATGAGGCACCCCATCATCCTCATCGCCATCCAACATCTGGGGCCCTTTAGTGGAAACTTGGAATTTCAAGATTTAATTTGGCCAACCAGGCCAATTGTACCTACCTGCCTGCCAACGTGATAAAGACAAAATTATACGTTGTTTTAAGTGGCTGTAGGCGATGTTGCCGCGCCGTGCCAATTGTCCCCGCAACCCGCTTTCTTTTGCAGACGCGCCCGCGTAAGTGCCCCTGGCATGCTCAATCTGGCAACGTGTTGCTCGCCCGTTTATTGCCTGCTCATTACCAAAAACGAGCAAAAAAACAATAAAGCAGTACGATGGTCGAGTGTTTGTTTTAAGGGGGAGTTCCTTGGCGAAACATATTATTATCTGTCGTTTTTGCCTGGTTAGGTCGAGACAGCAGTCGCCCGTGTTAGCGCCCGTAGTTTCGTTGCGCTGGGGGGGCCTCAGGGGGTCCAGGGGCGCCCCTAAGACCGGTCGAACGTGAACGTGATTATATAAGCGAAATTCTGTCATGACCGAGCTCGCCCGATGACATACCATATTTATGGTAAACTAGCTGAGATCAGGCATGGAACAGGCGATAGTTTTTCTCTTTGTTGGCACCAATTAACATCAAAGCCACAGCATATTTAATTGGGAGCGCGCTGATCTTCAACATGCCCAATCTGGAACGACAATCTTCGAACTGACAGGACAGTTTAGCCGAGACGATCGGGGATTGGCTGGTTAATGTGCGGCAATTAGCCGAGCGCATTAAAACATAGTGCGAATTTATTAAAAACATGCATAATTTATGGAATCTAATAAATAATTAATACACCGGGGCCCGTTTAAGTCGCAGAAATGAATAACCGGTGGAAACGGCGCGCCATAAATAATCGTTTGGATTCCGTCTATGTCGCATGGAGATGTTGGGGAAAAGCGGCCGGGTTTAGTTGCTTGCAGGGATGCCATTTTGCGGGGGTTTGTTCAATCCCCATGCTTTCGGGGTTAAAACCACACTTGACAACGTGGCTTTTTGCCCTTGGAAGTTCGTCACTAGTTTCGTCAAACCTCGGGTTTTTTCGGTATATTTTCCAAATGTCCACAGCAGATATTGTCCATTATTTCGCGATTTTGATCAAAAAATGAAGATCAAACTAGGCTTTGCC